ACAGCAGGCTTATAAGCAGAAGAAGGGAGAGAACCCAGTCTCCCATAGACTAGGGGCCAGGATAACTAGGGACTTTTCTCTAGTGTGATGGAGGAGAAAAGGAAGCTCACAAATACAGACATGAGATGTTCTGCTAATCACATAAATAGGAACCTGGAACCAGATTTATTTGCTCCGGAGTAAAAAAGAAAGTGGTACATTTCTTATACTCAAGAGTTGTTGGGAAAATTAACACTCATTATATATATATGCCTGTCAGACAGATCTATGTACTTAAAATAGGCTCTCTTATGGCCTTTTCTGATTATTTTAGTGTTCTTTAGTTTTACTTCTGCCAAGGTCTTGGAGAGACTAAGATCATTTCTTATAGTTGCATATTTCTTGGACCTAGGGTCACACTATGACCTTAGTGGACATGTGTGCCTTTTGATGCTTGCAACATATTGGAAGCTTATTAAAGATTACTGAAAGACTTTTAAATTTCCCAACTGTTTTAACAAGAAGAACCAACCTAATAGTGCAGCTGAGGGACACCCGGCTAGTCCTAACAGCTGGCACATGGGTCTAAATGCTGCCCTGCATTTAGAATGGCAGGTGTCTTGGCACATTCTGGACACAAGCCAGTTGACTCACCCCAAAGAGCCAGCCCAGTCTCTGCAACATCTATGATCACCTAGAGAGATTTTTATTTGGTGTGTGGCTTTAGAAAATATACTGCTCCATTAGTAATAACCCCTCACTCCTTCTTTCATTCCAGCTTTATCTGATGGCCTCAGTCCCCTAGAAAACAGCACCGACTTTGCAGTTTAGGATTCTGAGTAGAGTTTCTTTTTCAATGGAAGGGTTATAATGCTCTAGATTATGTTGAGTTAGTCTTCTGTGTCCTCAGTGTGTTAGCAAGGTAGCCTGGGCTCTACTGCTGTTTTCATTAATAAGAAGTGGGTGATGGATGCAGAGGTGGGTGTGGATAGAACAGGCTCCACTAGTCCTTAGAGACCACATTTCCATAGTGGGCATTGGGAAGTCATAGCTGTCAAAGTGAGCCACTAAGGATGATACACTCTCCATTCTCAGTGTGAGTGTGAGTGTGAGTGTGTGTGTGTGTGTGTGTGTGTGTGTGTGTGTGTGTGTCGGGGAGCTCAGAGTCCATTCCTCCACTTGGTCTGAAAGTATTTGATAAGTGAGCATACAGAAGTTTAAAGAGGAAGAGGTTTTTAATAAGCTCACATAGGCTGAACTTCAGCATAGTTGATACTATCAGATTTGGCAACTTTACTTATAGGTTGTGTCCTTAAAAAAAGTTGTTCTGTTATCTAAGCACATAAGTCATATTTTTATTGTAGAAAATTTGGAAGAGCCAAAAAATACAAGGACAAAATTAAAATCACCTATAATTACACTATTAATATTTGTGTGTAAGATGAAATTAAATACTATATATATAGTTGGTAAGGTATTTAATATGATGTGATATGTAACATTTCATAAAATATTATATTGCATTATATTACTATTTTTTGTATAAAAGTATGAAAATATATGTATATACTATATTGCAACTTAATTGGTATGTAATTTCAAACTTTCTTGAATGTGATTAATATGAAAAGTATTTGATGGAAGAATAAATGAATAAACTTTTACATTAATGAACAAATGCATGAGTAGGTTCATTTTCCACTTTGTGGGGTGGGGGAATTTACAACCCTTCCAAAAACTTTAACCTAGAGGAAATCAGAGATTCACACTAACCTCCTCCTCATAATGGAATGATAGTCCATCTCCTCCTGATTCTGTCCCCAAAACATGGCAACAAACATATACACACATACCCATCATTTAAATACTAGCTCTTGTTTATCTTACTATGAACTTGGCCTAGGACAGGAAGTCTGGTTCTATAGACTCAACTCTCAAAAATACAAACAATGAAACTCTGTCTCTCAGTTTCTTGCTCTTAAACTTCCTCTACTCTCTTTCACATACACACACACACACACACACACACACACACACACACACTCCACGACAACCACCACCATTCTGTAGCATAACTAAATCACTCATGTGGGAAGGTCTTATGTAATCCCAGAGATTTCCACATTGCTTATGTTGGGCTGAATATTAGGTGTTATATATTTTTTCTTTGGCATCATAATATTTCTCTTCAGAGATAAACTATGATTTAACAAATAAAGCTTCAAATAAAAACCTGCCCAGTTCTTTTGAGGTCAACTGCATCTGACTCAAAATTGCTTTGAGACTTTAGTTGTACATCTCTGACTTCCAAATATTGCAGAAAAGTGAAAAATGGGAAAGAAACAGAAGCCAAAAATATGGGATATTTCAATCAAATCTCATTTTGTTCTCCTCCACTTTTGTTTAGAGGTTAAGAACAGGGTTCTTTTTTTAAATTGTTTTATTTATTTTATTTTCGAGAGAGAGAGTGTAAGGTGGGAGGGACAGAGAGAGGGGGAGAAACAGAATCCAAAGCAAGTTCCAAGCTCCAAGCTGTCAGCACAGAGGCTGACACGGGACTTGAACTCACAGACAGTGACCTGAGCTGAAGTCAGATGCTCAACCAACTGAGCCACCTAGGTGTCCCAAGAACAAGGGTATGATGCCCAAGATCTGACCTGAAGCCTGACTTTGCCACCCTCAGCCAGGTGACCTTAAACTCTTAAAGTTCCAGTTTCCTCATTAATAAAATGGATTAATAGTAGTCCTCTTTTATAAAATTATTGTGAGGATTAATCAAGATAATGGGTGTTTAGTACTTAGAACAGGGACTTTTAAATACTAAGTGCTAAATACTAAGCAATTATAATTATAGCATCATTATTGGTCTTTTTAAAAAAAATGTTTTTTTTTTTTTAATTTTTGAGAGAGAAATGGCACATGCTCCCATGGTGTGCCTGAACCTGTGAGGGTTGAGGGCCAGGAAGAAAGGGAGACAGAAGATCAGAAGCAGGTTCTGAACCGACAGCAATTTGTCTGATGGAGGGCTCAAACTCATGAGCCATGAGACCATAACCTCAGCCAGAAGTTGGACACTTAACCAGTGAGCCACCCAGGATATCTGTCATAATCGGTCTTTTCTTAATATCAGTATTACGGGGCTTGCATTGAACTTGAAACTAAAAAATTGTAGAATGAGCCACAAAGCTCAATATAAATTTCCTCCTGGAATACTAATTTATTTTTCTTCTAAATTTAAAATAAATATAAACATATATAACATATGTGAGGGGGTGGTGGCAAGCATTCAGGCAATTTCCTACTTATCAAAGAAATCTAACCTGGTAAAAGTAAATGATTATGCAATCAGACTTTTCTAGGATTTCTAACTACAGCACGTCATGATCTATAATGCTGTATTGTCTGTTGGTTTCATTACAACATCCAGATTATAAATGATGGCCTTCATAGGCAAAGTACCCAGTGCAGCCAATATTACTCCAGAGAGTGCTCCAGAGAAACCTAATTCTGTTAAAGATTCAGTTACGAAGGAGAACGTCAAAGCTGATGAGGTATGATGCTGTCATGGGATTGGGGTTTAGTACCATGAAACTGATCATCCATGAGTCAGTTTTTGGCTTAAGCGTTGGGAACCTCCAGGGAGCACTAATAGGATTCACAAGTGTTCTGGCAGCCATCTCAGTGCTGTGTAAACCATGAGGCCAGGACAAGAGAGCCCAAGAGGGATAGCATTTCATTGCTTAATTCTTTCTGGCATGTTCAGAGTCTCAGAACTTGAGAGAACACTGTGTTGATCCATGTTTGGTGTTGAATGAGGTGGGATGTGAAGACAGAATAAAAGCGGAGTTTCTCTATTCCAGAGATCTTATTAGCCATTCCTGAAAGAGAACTGGGGTCAGGCTTGCAGGCAAGAAAAATCCCCTCAGGTCTCCCAAGAGTTGATAGGGGATGTGAAATAGACCATAGAGTCTGAAGGAAGAGACTAAGTCCAGGTCCTGAAGCATGTCCATCATGAATACACATTCCACGGCTCCTTCTGATGGTCTGTGACATCTCTCTGAGCCATCTGAAGCCAACAAAACTATAGTTTTTTCCCATAGACTAAGCTGAAAATTGAACTGAATATGACAGGAAATTTGCCTTGCTCATTTTTCTCCTTTATAAATGTGTCTGCTGTCCCCTGGCCATCTTGATCTGCTCTCTCCATCTGCCAGAAATAGCATTCTTTGTTATAGACACTCTCAAATGTACCTCTGTCAGTGTGACTATTCTCACAGTGGTCATGACAGAATCCCCTGGGTTCTGTTCCTTTTATAACATTTTTTTTTTTTTTACCATTGAATGGGATGAATTCATTGCTTGAATTGGGTGGGTGGGGCATTTCTTCATGGACAGACATTATCTATGTGTTTAATTCTCAACTAGACAATATCAAATGGATCACACCTTGAAGAAGGATAGCCCATCAGTCAGATAGAGCTCTTGAAAGTCTGGCATGAAAGCCACTGAATTCCACCATGACCTTCCAGTGTACCTTTATAAGTAAGCTACTTAATTTCTCAGGATCTCAGTTTCTGGAGTGAGTTGAGCTGTGTCCCAATTGTACCTTTAAGATCAAATTTTAATTGCTAATTGTTTGATATATATATCTCAACCAAGAAACATAATGTTTCTTGACTGTATTGAAGGTTAAGGAGATATGAATGTAATGTCCTATAATTACAATGCCTGGTGCATAAGAGTCAATACTCAATAAATACATCATGAATGCATTATTGTTTTTATGCACATAGACATGCATATTACTCAAGCCAACCCTGAGTTTTAAACTCTCAGTTGAGTTCAATTCTTGTGCATGAAGATGATAACTGAAGGGATCCAGCTGCTTCCCTGATCATGCACTTTTGCTGGTTTTCATGCTGGATACTTTGGAGCCTTCCCATCTGGTCCCACGGAACTGTTGGAACCTTGGGATTGGCAGTTTGAAGCACTTTACCCCTCTCCCCCCCACCCCCATCTACTCAACATAGGAGAGTAAGAGCCCCTCCTCCAGCTGGGGCAACATTGGGAGTAGGTAAGTTCCTGACAATCTAATTTGCTCCTTGGAGTGAGTTTTCCTATGGGACAATGTGTTATATGGTATCTTGTTTCTTGGAGCAGTCCACATCTTGTATGAGTCAGAGAGGAAACACATGGCACGTTCAAACTGGGTAATCTGGGAGGGTTTAGTAAGGGGATTATTTACAAAGATGTGGGCCAGGTGCAGAGAAATCACAAAAGATAGTGTAGCAGCCTGGAGAATTGGAATGAGAAGGCTTAGGTGCCATGGTAGGAGTACATATTAAAACATGGAGACAGAGAGCTTAATGGGGAGGGCCACCAGCCAGTCCCCTACAGCAGAGAGACACGACTAGCTTGTGTTCCTTGGACAGAGAGCCAGGAGAGTTAATATCCTCACCTCAATCTCTTGTTCCCCATTAGGTGAACTCAACCAGAAGCCGAAGAACCGGAACCAGTCCAAGTAGACATTTCAAAATCTTTTTTAAAAATATTTATTTTGAGGGAGAGAGAGACAGAGTCTGAGTGGGGGACAGGCAGAGAGAGAGGAAGACACAGAATCCGAAGCAGGCTCCAGGCTCCAAGGTGTCAGCACAGAGCCTGATGTGGGGCTTGAACTCATGAACCATGATATCATGACCTGAGCCAAAGTCAGATGCTTAACTGACTAAGCCACCCAGGCCCCCCCCCCCAAAGACAATTCAGATCAGCCTTTTAAGGGGGAGCAGGGTGGGAGCCAGTAGAGTGAATATCCCCAGTCATATTGTGGTTTTCTAATCATGAACCCAATCACAATTGTTCCTAAGGGAAATATACAAGCCATATAGTATAAATTTTTCTAGGAGCCACATTTAAAAAATTAAAAAAAATAATTTTAATAACATTCTATTTAATTTTATATATCTAAAATATTGTATTCTAACATACAATCAGTATAAAATTTACTAATAAGGTATATTATATTTTTTAAACAAAGTCTTCAGAATCTGATGTGTAGTTTATACTTCTAGCAAGCATATGTCAATTCAACTAGTCACATTTTAAGTGCTGAATAGTCCTGGGTTGCTGGTAGCTACTACATAGGACAGGGCAAGTCTAGTATATTTTAAATGCTTAATACCACATATTATTATTAAAGAGGGGGGAATTGAGAAACATGCTTGCCTGGGTTTGGAGAGGGGAGGTGAAGGAAGCATTGGAGGCTTGTATCATACAAAGACCTGATGGTCTTGTCTGCCGGTTTCCTCCTTGACATGCCTCACAAGGCCATCTCATTTACAACCCCAGATTCTTAAACTCAAAGTGACCGTAGAGATGGGGCCTCCTGAGAGAGATCTGAGGCCAGGCTGTGGGTGACTTGTGAGGACAGGAATGTGCCTTCCCCATCTCCCAGGATTCATCTATCACCATCATCCCATTCCTGTTACCTCACACCTCACCACCCAGTGGACCACTTCACCCAGGCCTCTGCTTTGTCTTGAGTCATATCCAGAATTTCTACCCATGGAGTTTCTCCAAAGAAGGTGTCTGGTTTCAAGAGCCAGGCTGTGTTTTCAAATGACAGTTCAGCACCTTTGAGAGTGACATCATGGCAAGAGTGATGGTATTAAGTCCAGTGTTGGTACCAGAGGATGGCAAGAGCTCAGATGTATGGTGAGCTGGCTGCCCAGCAAAAGCTGTTGGGTAAGGCCCTGCCTCTGAGCTATGTTTTCCACTTTGCACATGGCCCATGGTGGCAGAGATGGTGGCTATTCACTGAACAGTCTATGTGTCCCCTGTACTTTCCAGACCCCCTTCGATTTTCTCACTTTCTGCCCTTTACAACATCTCCATTAATGGGACTACTATCTGCCCAATGGAGGAGATCTGAATCTGAGAGTCGTCTGGGGCTCCTCTCCTTACCTTACCCTCCATATGCAATCTATCACCAAGTTCTTTCAAGGGTAGCTCCAAAATACATATCTTGACTTATTGCATGTCTCATGTCTTCCTAGCTTCACAGCTACTGACATAGTTCCAGAAACTACCTGCCTTTCCCTGGGCTGTGCCTCTTGTTTGGTGAGCTCACCCTTATTTCCCTCTTCATTCTTTATATAGCATGCTATTTAAAAACATATATCAGGTCACATCTCATCTTGCTTAGGATACCCACTGGTTTTTCATGGCATTTTGAACAATAATATAAATACCATAAAATACAGGTACCTAAAAAGCCCTCCTTAATTTAGTTTTGGTAACCTCTCTGTCCTCACTTCTGCCCCCTTCATTTTGCTCACTAGGCTAAGCCCACTGGCTTTCTTTCTGTTAATCCAATACTATAAGCTTTCTCCTCCCTCAGGGCCTTTGCACGTGTTATGGAGAAAGAATCTAAGTGCCATGAAAGCAAGGACTTTGTATTTTTATCCTTGCATCTCCTTTACACATGTACTTGGCAAGTAGTTGATGGTTGGAAAAATACTCATTGAATAAATGAATGAAAGTATCTACTTGAGTTCAATTCCCAATAGTAGTCTGTAAGTTTACCAGCCAGAACAGAGGACTTCCCTTAAGAAATTCTGCCCTTGCCTAGACCTGAGCAAGAGATCTCTGTCCTAAGCCCCTTGCTGTATAGGGCTCTGCTCTGACCTTCTTCTATGCTTTCTCTTTCTCATAAGATGAAGACATCAAGAGGTTCAGAGGATGTGTCCTCCAAGAATGCAGTCTAGAAAGGAATATAGCATTTCTAGAATTCCCTTCCAGAGTGCCCCTCTTCTAGACCCCAGAATTCCCTATCAATGACCCTGATCCTGCTTCCAGAGCCCCGATGGGGCTCTTCCCCATATCTGTCCTCTCAGGGCAGACCAGGGTGCATAGCCCTACACCTGGTGGTGGCACGGGGGCAGCTGTGTGATGTTACGTGTGGACAGATCGTGAACTTGAAGGCTGCAGAATCCACTCAGCTCTGCGTGCTGTGGAATGGAGTTAGAGTGGTAAGAGAGGAGGGACAGATGGAGAGCTGAGGTTTACTTCTCCTCATTGCCAGTTTTAGCATGGAATGAAACAAGGAATCTGAGAAGCCTGCATTGAAACCTGGCCTCTGGGGCATGAAGGAAGGAGGAGAGTGGAGATTATATGTTGAGCAATTTGTGAACTCAGTTTATAACTTCTAAGTATTTACGTGGCATCTCCATTTGTACTCTCCAAAGCCTACAAATGCTCTGGGCAGGCCTCCTGAGCTGCGTGGAGTGCTGGCTCCCTTTGCATTGATTTAAGGTTGGGTGGAGGCCCTGGAGCATCCCCTCCATCACTGAAACAGAGGGGACCCCAAGAAAGAGCCAGGAACTCCGTATGGGCAGTAGCCATTTTCCTTCCCCATCTTTGTATTTGTGCTTACTTTCCCCAAGGTCATTAACAGAATTAATGGTAGAAGGTTTGTGAACAAGATTAATGCCCCATAATAGAGGTTTAGATAAATAAATCAAGTACATACATCCAACGCTATACTCTGTATCTATTAAAACATTTTAGATAAATAACTGGAATAACAATAATATTACTACTAATAACCACAACAATGACAGCTCTCTCTCCTTGAGCACTGGGTCTCTGTCAGTCAGCATATGCAGCAGCTCACACTCACCATCTCACTTAGGCCCCAAAACCACAGGATGGGTTCTTAGTTCAAGGCATCAGCAAGGAAACTGAGCTTGGGAGGATTTAATTATACATGGGTGTGCGGATTAGGGAGTTGTTCTCTGAGTCTTTTGAACTGGGCCACAGTTTCTTCACAAGGAGGAGGTGGCATCTTCCAGAATCACACCCCCCCCCCCCACTTCTTTAGGAGATGGGAAACCTGAGCTCCTTTTCTTATTGAGGTATAATTGGCATGTAATGTTGTGTAAGTTTAAGGAGCAGGAAGATGCTGGTTTGACACATTTATATATTGCAATATGATTACCACCTGTTACCACCTGTACCATTGCTTTTTTGTGGTGAGAACATTTACAATCTAATCTTCTAGCAACTTTGAAGTATAAAACCAGTATTGTTGACTATAATCACTCTGCTTTGCATTAGATCTCCAGAACTTATCCATCTTCTACTTGCAAGTTTGTATCATTAAACAACATCTCTTCAGTTCCCTAACCCTCAACTACTGGAAACTACTATTATACTATGTGTGTCTATGAATTCAGCTTGTTCAGACTCCACATATAAATATAAATGATATCATACAGTTTCTACCTTTCTCCAGTCTGACTTGTCTCAGTGTAATGTTCTTAAAGTTTATCCATGTCACTGCAAATGGCAGTCCTGTGGCTAAATAACATTACACTGTACATTTACACATCTTCTTTATCCATTCATCTATTGATGGGCCTTTAGGTTGTTGCCACCTCTTGGCTATTGTAAATAATGCTGAAATAACATGGGAGTACAGCTGTCTTTTTGATATCCTGTTTTCATCTCCTTTGGATATATACTCAGAAGTGGGATAGCTGGATCATATGCTAGTTCCACTTTTAATCTGTTGGTGGAAATGCCAATTCATTCAGCCACTGTGGACAACAATATGGCTGTTCCTCAAAAATTTAAATATAGAAACCTGAGCCCTTTGGCTCTCAGTTTGCTTTTCCCTCCTCTTGGCCCCTTGTTACTTAACCTAAGTCTTCATTTTTTTTTTCTTTTTACCAGTGAAATAGGAATAACAACAATACAACAATATGGAATATTACTACTTGTTCACTCTCTTGGTAAGTTCCAATTTTTCTCCTCCTCTTCTCTGAAAGCTGGTTGTCAGTTATTGTGTTCCTTGTGGGGGCCAGGGGGTGGGCTAAATGGCCCTCCCCATGGCCCATTCTGGGAGAAGGATCAGTAAGACAGTTAGGAACTTCCACATCACCCAGCTTATCTCCTCACAGCTGTCCAGCCTGGTGTACTAAATCATTTGATTTCCTCTCCTGTCTCGAGTTGCCCATCAAGGTCCTTCTAGTATGTATGACAAGACCTTAGCCACAGGGTAGTGAGAAGAGAAAAGGGACTGAGAAGTGAAGAAAAAAGCTAGATGAAATCCATATATGTCAATATGCATAAAGATCTAGAAGGATCTAGACCAAGAAGTTTATGGTAATCATTTTTGGGTGATGGAAATATGTTTACTTTCTTCATACATTTCAAGAAAAAGTATACATTTTTTTATTTGCTAAACTGTGCACTTGTCATCAAGAGAATGAAGGAGGACAGAGACAGGTAGGGGGCCTCCTGGTGGGTAGTTGATCTTGGGGAAAAAGGACTCTAAGGGATAGGACAGACATAGGATTGAAAAAAGAATCATGTATGAAAAGGCACTGGTTGAGATGCGGAGAGGGGTAGGTGTTTGCTGAGTCCCAGTGGGATAGGCACCACTGGTTTGCCAGCAGCCAGGTCTGTGTGGAGGCCCCAACACAGGCCAGTAAGATTCATGACAAAATGTCAACAGAAATACTACCTTCAGTGAATGAAAAGAAACAAACATGCTTTCTCCTTTAAAACAGTTTTCTTTTAACATGAACATAAACAAATAACTACCAGGGGCAGTGTGGGAACCAGATAGCTTTCAGGTAGGTCTGTTCCACCATTTTGCAAACAGACACCCAAGTTTGGAAGTTCTGTGTTCACCCAAATGGGACTGGACATCAGGCAAGTCTAATGGCAAATTGAAATTTCTCTACCCACGCACCATTATCATGGTTTGGTTCCAAAGTGTTTTTTGAATGGCCTCCTTAGTCTGCCTTAAACCCACCATCCACATGGCTACCCACCCATTTGCACGGAAGGACATTTATGAACATTAGTGTTACTTGTGTCTCCTTTATTTTTTCCACAGAAGACATCGCAGATCCTGGACCTTGGAATCTCTTCTCTTACATCTGCTTTTGACAAAAGCTTGTATAGTGCAAGAGGCAATTTATCTTTCTCTGATGTATTTCAGCAGGTTCCTACCACTATGCCTCTGGGTTTGTTTCTAAGAAGATATTCCCTGTGCCTTCATGTATGACTCTTATCAGCCATGGCTCTCCCTTTGTTCTTCTGCCCTTCTGACATTGGCAACAAGAGAAGGCAGCCATGGGAACCTGTCAGTTTTCTAATTTACTTTTCAGCATTGCATATCATTATTTCCAGTGGGCAAAAGGCAAAATGAATGAATGACAGAGATGTAGAAATGAAACTAGAATGGTACTGTAGATTGGATTTGCTGCAGATAGAAGCTGAGACAGAGTTTAAGGAGCAGGTTATCAGGTATCAACATCTCTGGGTGGGGGAGATGAACTGTGATGTAACCCAACAAAGACTTGACCAACCCAGTGGGGAGGTCTGGTAGGTATGTGGTACCAACAGAGCTATTCTGTAGGAGATGGGCTGTCTTTTAAGGGCATGACCTTAGACGATGTAAGGAGTCTCTTTGTAGTTGAATAGGACCCTCCAGGGCCTGAGGGATATCTGCTGACAGCACTCCCAATAGCAGGGACAGCAGATTCTCCATTGAAGGAGACCCTGGGTGTGCTGCTCCATGTCCTCCACAAATGGACTGCACTGGACCACCCAACCAGCTGTTCAGACCAATAACACAAGTCAGGTTAGGCAAAATCCCACTCCCTCTGTACAAACACCTCACAGTTGTTCAGGATTGATGTATTTGACTAACTTAGCCCGTTGTTTTGGTGTTGTATAGTCTTACTTCAACCTGGATGATGGCTTTGTTACATTGTAACTAGTGTAGGCAAAGTCTTGATGGATCATTGAGTTGAAACTAGATGAATTTGTTGATTACCCTAAACATATTTTTAAAAGCTTAATGTTCTACATTATAAATTACCTTTTGAAGTTACCTACTTCATCAACATCACATCATTGCTGTCATTACCATTATAAGTGTTCCCATTAACAACAACAAAAGCAAGAGTAAAACTAAGCATTTATACTCTTTGAGAGGAATATAAACTACTGCTGCTCTCCCTGTATTCTTCTCCTTCTTGTTGACCCAGTAATGAGAGCCTTGAATGTATGACTAACTCTCTCCTCTGGATGATGTTCTTCCTGGATCAGCAGAAACTCCCCTCTTCTTATTTATTTTATTTTCTATTCAGGTTCTTTATTAAAAAATTTTTTAAAGTTCTTTTAAAAAAATTTATTTCTGAGAGAGAGAGAGACAGTGTGAGCAGGGGAGGATGAGAAAGAGAGGGAGACACAGAATCTGAAGCAGACTCTAGGCTCTGAGCTGGCTGTCAGCACAGAGCCCAACACGGGACTTGAACCCACAAACCATGAGATCATGACCTGAGCCGAAGTCAGACGCTTAACCGACTGAGCCACCCAGGCACACCTCTATTCAGGTTCTTGAGATGCTTGTTCTTCTTCCCAATGCTCTCTGGCACATTCAAGGTGTAATGATGTCAAGTCAACTTGGTTGTCCCCATTTTCAGTTTAGGAGACATCCACTGTAGGTGTTGCATTTAACACTGAGAGGAAGAGTGACTTGCAGATGGTAGTAAGGGGATTGTCTGGCCCTTGGGTCCCTCCGTGTGTAGGCAGACCTATCCAAAGCTCTTTCTACAGGTAGCTAATACATATACACTGTAAAACAAACAAAAAAAGACATAATAGATTAAAAATAGATAATAAAGGAAAATACAGCAAACAAAGGAGAAAACATCCAACTTCCAACTAGACAGAGATATAGCTCCTATTAAACTTTTTTGGCTACTGTCTTGAAAGGCACATTGGTAATGCTCAGGGCATGGATCCAGGATTCCTGGATCTGAACCCTAGTTCTACTGCTTATCAGCTTGTGACCCTGGACTAGTTTCTTGCCTCAGTGTTCTCATCTGTAAAATGGAGATAATACAAGAAACTTTATCATAGGGCTATAATGATAAGAAATGAATTAGTATTTGGAGGGTACGTAAAGTCATAGTTGTCTTGGAGTTAAGTACTATATCAGTGTTCGTCATGGAAGTCATAAATGAATTAAACATATCCAGAAAGTCTCATGCACATAACTGGAATCCCACCAGCCCTGAGGTTCTGTGCTCTGCTTTTCAGTGTGCTAGGAGTCTCCAGATCTCCTGCCAGATCAAGTAGAGCAAACCTGAATTAGCTTCTAAGTGACACTGGATTGTTTTAGTTAGTGGAATACCATAAATTCAGTTCTTATTTTTTTGTACTATGGTATGCATTGGTACCGTGGTCTTTTCATATAATTTCCTGACCATGTCCTTAGGTGGGAGTCCAAGAAGTGGAATTGCCAAACATGAAATTTTATCTTTTTTTTTTTGAAATTTTATCTTTTGATACATAATGTCAAATTGTCTTGTGCAAAGATTATGTAGCATACATTCCCAGGAGCAATGCTGGAAAGTACCTGTTTTCTGCATCCTCCTCCCCACTGTGAGTATTGATAATTATTTCCTTGTTTCTGTTGTGTTATATATGAACACCATCGGCATTGTGTTCTACAATACAGTTGTTGTCCTTCTCATTGATTATTTTGTATTTTGCCTTTATGACTCATCTATTCATATTTGCACATTTTTCTAGTAAGATGTGTATCAGCTGAAGTTCTGAGCTACAAACAATAAAAAACAATTTAAGCAGATGGAGAATTGATTTTTTAGGGTATCAGGTTGCTCATGTAATTGACAGGGAGGCTGAACAATGAGGCCCAGAAAATAAGTAAGAACAAAGGAAGGACTGGATATAGAAACCATAACCTAGATTATAGGGAAGGATAGTGGTGGAATAAGCTGTCACCAGTGGACACATCTCCTTCCTCGATGCACTGTTCTCTCTCAATGTACTGGTCATTGGCCTCTCCAACTGCCCAGTCCAGGAAAAGGCAAAAGCCCACTATGGGGTTCCTGTCTTCTCTTCATTGTTTTGTACCAGTGCTTTGTACATTTGGAATATTGATTCTTTGCATGTCTTTTGTATTGGAAGCAGCTTTTCTTCGATTTGTATTCACCTTTTAACTTTGTTCAGAGTGCATTTGGCCACACTGAAATTTTACATTTTCTTTCAATAATTATAAAATGTTTTCAGCTGCTAGTGTGCACATGGTAGGCTCTAAATTATTACTTTTTAACTCCAGATTCTTCCATAGCATCAGATAGGGGATATCTGTGGTATATTGTTGAGATAATGGCCCTGGATTTATTCATGTGTCACTGCATCCATATCCTTGGCTAGTCCAATCCACATTAATCAGAACTTGCTTATGGCAGTTGCTTCAGCCAATAGGACAATCGAAGCACAATCAATACATGATTCAAACAGAGGTAGAAAAAGTGCTCGCACATTGAGATCTGCTTTCTTAGAGCTGTGTGACCCCTACCACACAGAAGATGATCTGAAACTCCTTTAGTGCTGGCAGAGGTCATCTAAGCCAGCCCAAACCAGAACTACTCAGTCCATCCATGGAATGGTGAGGAATTATAAATGTGTGTTGTGCTGGTCTCGGTCTGTTAATAGTGATTCTATTGGCTAGAAAGGCTGGAGGACACTCACCTGGGCCTGGGGCGAGCCCCACAGAAATGTCCCCATTCAGAGTTAGGGTTGTAGCTGGACTGGCCTTTGTGGTTCTTATTTTGATTGCAAGAGGCACCTCATCAGTAACACTCAGGGAATTGTGAAACAAGAACAAAAATCAAGGTTTATTGCACACAGGCTCATGGATGGTGCATGACATGTCTGGGGTCATAGAACGAGGTTGTGGGGAGAGAGAGAGCATGGGCTTAAGGTTCTGCTTTTATTGGGATTGAGGATGGGGTGTCTAGGGTTTTGTGGGTTCACTCCTTGTTGGTGAATTTATAACATAAGAGCAGTAATTAAAGCATGAACAGGGAAAAATAAGTAGTCAAATGGTCAGTTATAGAAGTAAACCAGGGGTTTCTAAGACAGGGGTGGAGTGGCCTGGCTTTTTATCTAGTCTCATGGCTGGCACTGTATTTATTGGAGATAGCTGTGTGAAGAGGATGGTTGGCAATCAAAAGATTAATGTCAGACACTTGCATCATGATCAAAAAGCCAACTGTCAGGTGCTTACACTGCAAAGTGTTTGATATTTTAAGCCACTAAGTTTTGAAGAAGCTTGTTACGCATCACATGCAAACTGATACACTAACTATACATGCAACTCCTTTAAAGATCCTATTAATTCTAGGGGTACTTGGGTGGCTCAATCAGTTAAACAGAATCTGACTCTTGATTCTGGCTCATGTCCTGATCTCATGGTCTTGGGAGCAAACCCTGCATTGGGCTCTGCATGGAGCCTGTTTGAGATTCTCTCTCTCTCTCTCTCTCTCCCTCTCCATCTCTCTCAAAATAAATAAATAAACATTAAAAAATGTTAAAAAAATGAATTCTATTATTTGTTTCTTGCCTATTGCTTCCCAAACTATATAATCTGCAGGAGAGAGTAACTCAGGACCTAAAAGAGCTCACAAGTAATTCAGTGTACTCTACACTCAACTTTCTATGACATTCATTTCCTGGAAGCTCTTTTTCTCTTTTAAAGTTTATTTATTTATTTTGAGGATGGGAAGGGGAGAGAGAGAAGAAGAAAGAAAATCCCAAGCAGACTCCACACTGTCACTGCAAAGCCCTGGTAGCTCTTAGAGAATACCACTGATTGGTCCTCTCTTGTTGACTTGAAGAGTATTTGCTTTAGGTGGTCCAAAGAATAGGATATTCCCTCCTGCTTTTATCTTGGCAAAAGGCAGAATAAGAAATATCCCTTTCCTTCATCAAAAAGGTCTCCTTGGTTGGAGAATTCCTCTGGCTCTCCAAATCTTTTCCCAGTTATTTCCTCACCCAAGACCAGTCTAATTTAACCTCTGTGTTGGCAAATATCCATCATTGAACCTTCTTATCATTTAAAGTCTTCTAAAATCTGAGGGCTCTATGCACAGGAATATCAGGCCCATCATTTACTTAGCCCACCACTTTGTCCACAGAAACACGATGGAGAGAAGGTGGGTGTCATTTTAACTGACCTCTTTATGTCAGTCCCGAACTCACCCAACATTCATCACATTGTAGGCATTTGGGAAAATGCCTTTGGGTAAAATCATGGAGTGGTAAACATTAAGAGAACTTTGGGTCCATACAATCTAGTCTCTTAGCCCAAGGACACAGATTTCTTAGTGATGGATCTAAGGCTAAATTACTTAAAGCTATTTCCTCTACTGGTTTCATATAGACTAATTAGTATGAACATTTTGGGAGTTCCTAATGCTCATCCTGTCTCCCCTTCTCACTGTGTCTCACATTAGGTGAACTTACTTATTCCCAGATATGTAAATTATGTCTCTGACTTCCAAATTTATATTTGTAACTCCAAACTCCTGTATCTAACTGCCTACTCACTATCTATCCTTGGATGTCTTGCAGATATATCTAAATTAGTGTGTCCAAAACAAGACTTTCAGTCATCCAACTCGTCTACCCACTCCATGTCCACATCACTAACCTCAGCCAGGTTGTTATTACTGCTTATATAGGCCATCCCAACAGTTCCTGTAGACTATTCTAACAGTTCCTGAATTACTTTCTTTCTTCTTCTCTACTTCTCCTCTAACACATTCTCCACACAGCATCCAGAATAGTCTTCTAATTACGAAAACTGGATTATATCATGATTACCAGTTATGACCCCTTCCAGTTGTACATGGAGTGAAATCCAAAATCCTCACTGTTGCTGGAAAGTTTTCATCATCCAGCCCCTGCCTACCCAACTACACTTCGTCTCCGAGCCTTGATCTTTCAGGTTCAACCACACCAGACTTTTGGTTTCTCCATGTGTTAAATTTTCCCTGCCTCTAGGTCTCCAGTTATGCTATTCTTCTGCTTGGAAGATCTCTTAGCTTTCCTCCTGGCACTCTAGGCCTCAACATGAAAATAGCATCCTACAATGGGCCTTTTCTGATGACTTGCCATGTTCTTTTCATAGCACTTACTACAGTCTGTAGTTCTTTCATGAGTATGTCCTTCT